TTCTTTTTTTTTTTTTAGTTTGGATTTTGAATGCAGGTGCAACACGTGTTGCCGGCCAATTTTTTTATTAGTTTGTAATTTGGATGCAGGTGCAATAGATGTTTTTTTTATAGATAAATAATTGGGCTGCGACCCAACCCAACATTAATTTATTGGCCAGTTATTAAAAAAAAAGGGTATGACCTGCTTAGCCCGCAGCCTCTGGCGGGGCCAGGTTGGGCCGACATTTCACAAGCCCGTCCAACTAAAAGCCCAGTTTTTAGCGGACTAAGGGCCGGTCCGGCCTGCCGCCTCGTTTTGACAACTCTAGCAACAATGAAAAAAATTATATGAAATTGGATTTTTTTTTTCATTCCATTTGACTCTATATGTCCTAAGACCATCTCCAACCGGAAAACGCTTTCTCAAACCTATTTTGCAGTAACTGTCATATTTTGCAGTAATTCATCTCCAACCGAAAAACCTATTCTCAAACCCCAAAAGAATATTCTCTTTTACATCAACTTTTACAACTTACAAGTTTACAAATTAAACTAGACTATTATTTTAAATTCAATTAAATTTTTTTTTATTATAAATTAAAATTTAAAAGTTACAAACAAGAGAAAAATAAAAATTACAATGCACAAAATGAGCAAATTTAAATTACAACATACAAAATAAAATGGAAAATTACAATGCACAAGATGAAGAATTAAAAATTACAATAATTTATAATGTATTTTTATTTTCGTAGTTTTATGCTATATTTTTAATTTCATGACTAATTTGATAATATTAATGTCTTTGTTATGTGTTAAGTTCATAGTATTTTTAAAATTAAAATGGTGTATAATTTTCTGAACAGATAATAATAAATATCAAAGAATATTTATTAAATAAGGAAAAACTAGGTTATGATGTATTTAATTTTAAAAAGTTATATTTTTAAAATTGTTTGATGGTTTATATAATTTTTATGTTAATATTTAATAAGTCCAAAATGCAATTATACAAAGCAAAAGGTAAGAAATAACATTTTGATAAATTTTTGCGTCCAAGCACAGTGAAACGCATATTTGCGTTTTCTGTGGAGAGAGAAACATAAAAAACGTATTTTGAGATTGATAATGGGATTCGATTGGAATAAAATCTCCTCAATTTTTGCGTTTTGAGGTACGGTTAGAGACGGTCTAATTATATATGAGATAGCAAATGTGAACGTAGGAGATGCTCTGCGTCTCTGAGTGGGGTCATGCGGTCTACGATATGCATTGACCAATGATAAGTCGACACGTTGGCATTGCAGCTACCTCACGGCACAATAAATTCAGGTAAAGACGTAAATACGACTTTAATATTTCAAACAAAAGTGGGCCAAGTCTTCAAATAAATTGTGTCGAATTTACAAATGTGCCCCTGTTCGAATTGATGGTGATTTTAACCTGTCATTTGCTATGTTGCCATTTTATCCGTTAAGGAATTGGGTAATAACTATGCCATATGAATAGTATTTTGTTCCCTGTTATTTTCTAAAAGTTTGTTTAAAAAAAAAACATTTGGTATGTTTATGTAATAATATTTACGATGACAAACAATAATATCGACATTTTGAGGTATATAATTTATATGTAAGTTATTTCTCTTTAGGGCGTTTCCAGCGAAGCGCCAGATTTGAATTCTTGCACTCGAGTTGTGTGAAAATCTCCTCCAATACTGTCGTTAGATTTCTGCGCCATAAATGAGTTGTGAATAGTGTTGCGTCATATGTGCGCAACACTGTAGCTCAACGCTACAATTTTTTTTTGTGTATTATTATTGGTAAATTTTTATATAATGTGTATTAGTAAATGTATTTTTATGCTAAATAATTTGTGAAATATATTTTTTATGCTAAATAATTATGTGCTTTTAATTTATTGATGTATTATATTTTTATTTTGCAATTTTTTAATATTAAAATGATACCATATGATACCATTTTTTATTATTTGGATAATAAACATTTATATAAGATTGAATATTCATATATATAACAATTTATTTAAAATATAAATAAATAAAATATATTTTTATGATTTGAGTAATAAACATCTTTTATAAAATTAAATATACATATATATACCACTTCATTTTGAAATAAAAATAAATAAAATATATTTTTATTATTTGAGTAATAAACATTTTATAGAAGATTTAATATACATATATATACCAATTAATTTGAAGTGAAAAATGAATAAAAAAATATTATATTTGATGTAGAATAAAATGTAGATATGAGAGCTGGAGATGAATGTTCAACTCTACTCTAGAGAGTAGAGTAAAGTTCGCGTTAGAGTAGAAATAAATGCTGAAGATGGTCTTATTACTTTCCTATCTAATACGAAAACCATTGCATACAAGTCTACGACTAGTTGTTTTCATATTGAGATGGGGATATTTTTTTTTTTCCTAGTAATAACAATATTTAAAACTAATTACACTCCAAATATTTATAATCCTAATATAACACTATCAAAATATATGTCTAATCCTACTATAACACTATCAAGATATAGTACAAAATTCCGGCAGACTTAATTCTACAATCAAATGTGCATTTTTCACAATGATAAAAGTGAAATTAGGGGGAAAATTGTCAATGGGACTGGGCAACATGCGCCCTCACTATTAGACTTTCATCATATGGCTTATGTAATAACTCTACTAAATTATACAAATAAAGAATGTCAATATGCCCAAAAAAGTTTAATAAGTGTTGCTCTAGGTGCACCTAACATTTTATTACATTTTGATGAATAATAATAATAATAATGATTATTATTATTATTATTATTCACTCTATTTAGAAAATGATGATAAAACAAAATCATTTGTTTTAAAAGTAGTTTCATTTTCTTTTTCCTTTTTTTAATTATGGCTCGCTAGATGTGATTAATTACTTTATTTTTCAATGAGCAACCATATACACCACGTTGAGAAAAAATATATATGTTATTTCACCACGTGTTGTACGATTAGAGTTGTTACACGTACAACTTTGCTTGTTAATATTAATAAATTGAATCGAACTTAAATTAGTTAACTCGATTCAATAAAAGCTCAAACTTGAATATCATCAACTCAAACTCAACTCGACTCGATTACACAATCAAGAATTACTAATAATAGACTTTTTTTTCAAACGTCAATTATAATAATAACTAAAGCTTAAAAGAGTACAACCGAAGTATCAAATGACACACTAGAACCAGAAGACTGGACCAACCTCTATTGTCGACACACACAAGAAGGTACAAACTCCATCAAAGAGGCGAACAACCATAAAACAAAACACTATATATAAGAGAAAAACAGACACAACCCATTTAAAGTAGACTCGCACTAAACCAAACAAAACAACAAATAAAAAAATCAAAAGCAACACAATAACATAGACTTAAAAGGGCTGATTTTGAAAAGTATGAACAAATAAATGGCGAAAAAAGACAGAAAAGCCCCACAAAGACGAGATTTTGAACATTAATAAATGGCGAAAAAAGACAGAAAAGCCAAGGACAAAGATATGACCCGGTCAAACCTTAATCATAGCTAATACACTATACTCTTTTATAATAATCACGTAGATAAAAACATCAAGGGGCAAAGTAGTCAACCGGAATATTCTCCGACAACCGACGGCGACGCCGGCGGGGAACTGACTTGGACTCGGTACAACTTTGAACTTCCCATTAAATTTAAAAGAAAAAAATGCCTTAATCCTTTATATTTGCAGATCCAAAAAATCTCCAGTTTCTTTCACAAAAGGACATTTATAAAAGTTAAAAAAGATGAGATTTTTGTTTTTGGGCCCAAAAAAAAAACAGGAAAGTCAAGCGTACACTACTGCTGACTCCGTGTTTTCCATATCCTTGGGCATTTTCTTGTTTTCTCTCTTCAATGGATTCAGTTTAACCTAATCAAAACCCCGAAAGCTAGATCGCCGTCGTGTCACGCGCTTTTATCGCCGTCGCCGATCAGCCAAACCCATTTCTTTAAGCAGGT